TCAAAATTGAATTCAAAAATATAGTTACGCGTAAGGAAGGTATAGCACCTTTACAACGCCCATCCAAATAATGATACCAATTGATTTCGTATTATCCAAAGCTTTAAAACATTTTTAAGGTTTACCAAATAATTTATTGCTCTAAAATCAATAAAATGTTCTAATAGTTTCGTAAGATTTTATTTTAAAATTTAAATCATCAAATAGTCTATATACGATTGAAAAAAATGTGAATTTAACTTTCTTTTAAAAAAATATAATTAAACCTTCCAATAGTTTAGTAAGATTGATATTCAATATTTATTTATGAATTTCTTTAAAAAATTATTAAATTTTTCAATAGTTTAGTGAAGTTCAATTTGATATTTTAATTTTTCAATAGTTTGATAGGATTAAAAAATATATTTACTATAAAATTTACATCTAAAAAAATAATTTAAATACATAAAAATAGCAAATAAAATACCAAAAAAAAAATCGACTGGCTCAACAAAGGAGCGACTAGGCTCGACAATAAAGACAAAAAGAAGTGGCTAGGCTACTCAGCTCTACTCGATAGATGACTCAGCTTGTAGCAATAGGAGCAGGTTAGTAGGCAACATTACCAAAACAGATTTGCGAAAAAAAATTTTCTTTCTAATACTTTCATAAAAAAAATTTTTTTTACGCTCTTACTTTTTCTTCTTTGATTGTTCCCTTTATGTTAATTATGGGTCTTCAAATAGGAATTTAATCCTAATTTGAATAAAAGTCCAAATTTGAAGACAATTATTGTTGTAATGGTTTTGAGGACCACTAGATAAATTTGAAAACAAAAGATGAAGTCACCAGCAATCTTTTTTGGTTAGGTGTGATTGGTCACCTATTAAAACTTACATTCTTAATAAAATTTTAAAACCAATTAAAATTTTTTGAAAGGATAATTTTTAGGTCTATGAAAAACTGTTTAGTTTCAGAAGTTGGTTACGAGTGGGGAAGGATTAGCATCCCTACAATGCCCATGTAAAATGGTACCAATTAATTATGTGTTATCTTTTAATATTAATTATGTCTTAATTTTGATATTTAAAAATTAATTTCCTCAACTTTCCTTAAAAATATATTTTTTAATTTTTAGTAAGCTATAAGGGGTGTAGAAAAGATGAAGGTCTTCAGCATCATTGTATAGGGTGACCTCTTCTTTTGCCTCATCCCTACCCTCCCTTTCAGCATGGTTGGACGTCCTCTATTTTCCTAAAGCCTGTTTATTTCTAAAAGCTTCATTGCTAGGTTGCTCAGTTTTTACAGAAAAAATAAGCCTTTGAACAAGAACAAGAGCTGGAACCTCCATTATGTTGAAGGAAGAAGAGGATGAAAAAGAGTCAAAGGACTCTTCAGACTTAAAAGATGAGTCAGAGTTAGACTTTAACCTTGGGTTAGGGGATCATTAAGAAAAAGAAGAAAGGTAAGGATAAGGTTAAGAAAGAAGAGGGTCTAAAGAAGAAGAGGGACGATCAGCTAGAAAAATTGGACTGAACTCTAACATTGGGGCTAGAAGATTTTGGATCTCGTAATCTAATGCAGCATGAAGCTCATCCATCCCATGATAAACCCATTCTCTCTTTACGCGAACATTGTCTTCATTTTGTTTCTAGCTCTTAGTAGACATTAGATTTAACTAATAAATAGCTCAGTTATAGTCTATTCTTGTAATTATAGACGGGACTTCATCATTTAAACAAAAAGCTTGCCGGTTGAGTTGGTCTTCTCTTACTTCTACCTTAAAGTTTTCAAAAATGCTAGAATCAGAAGACATAATGAAAAAGGATAAAAAACATATTGAGAATTTGGAAAAGTGAGAAAAACGATTAAAAGAAGGTTAGAAGTATTGAAAGTTGATTAAATCAATCTGGCTTGAGAGCTAGAAGATTATGATATGAAACATGGAGGCCTTAAAGGGCTTTTTATATAGCTAACACAAAGATAAGATAAATGTTCCAGATTATGCCATGTAGCCAAAACGATTATCGATGATGATCTTTTATATTCTCAGCCTTAATTCATTTAATCGCTAAATTTTCTCTCTCCAATTAAATCTAGATATACCTTTAAATAATAGATGAATCTGTATAAGGGGCATGTTAGTCACTCTGGCAAAGAGTATTCATATCGACAAAACACCTATGACATGTCAGGTCAATCACGCACTAGTGCAATAGACAAATTCAGAAACAAAGAAAAAAACATAAGTCCCATGTTGGTGATCACAATAATAGACCAGTATGTTATAGTCAAATATGACATTGGACTTACAAAACATGTCAGTAACCACTCATATATCTGCACAATCTAATCCTTGTTCACATCGATACATGTGATCATCCATCTCAGCAACTTAAGATCAGACCAACTAGATTAAATTCTCAAAGCCTATGCACAAGAACTTAAGTATGGTATCTTCGAGTACGAATTGGATTGGTATTTGTCAAATTAGCCAAATTTACACTCAACAATCTAATACTTAGATCATTTGATGGAATGACAGAATGTTAGGAGCATTTTTAGATTCGAAGGGCAAAATAAGCTTTTTCCTCTTTAAAAACAATTAACAGAGAGCCAAGTATATTTTCGACTTTTGGGCCAAGCTAAAATGTCAAGTCAACTTGAATTCATAAGGCTACGTTAGCTCGACCACCTTATTAGCCTATCCATTAGAGCCTTCCTAGGTGTAAACTTGCCATTTCGTGACTAAGTGGTCAACATTTAGTTTAGCTCGGCCTACCAGGTCACCCTTGACCCTAGGATTGACCTCGAGCAGCCTAGCTTGCCCAAAACCCCCATTTTGCTAGTATAAATAACACTTTTATAGTACCATTTGATCCATCTTGCTTTGTTATGCTTCTTTATAATCTTTTTCCTATTTTTTTTTCCTTGACCAATCTCTAATTTGAATGTCAGAACACAAACATAAGGAATACTCTCAACTTTTATCTTTAAAAACTATATTTCTTTTTCTTTAATTTTTAGGTTTTACCCCTAACTCTATCTTTTTTTTTTCTATTTTTAAAGTTTTACCCTTAAGAGCAACTCGACACCACCAATAAGTATTTATGTTTTATAATGACACAATATGCATATTTACAACAAAATAAAAGAAGAACAAACTAAAATAAATACCTAAATTTTAAACAGGTGAATTTTTACAAGAAAGAAAAATAGCTTTTATAGTTATATAATCCAAAATATTATAAATTTTTATAACTAAAAAGAAAAAATATTTATAAAAAGAAATATTTATAAAAGGCTTTTTTTAATGAATTAATAGGATAATTCCAAGTGTTACCATCATATAACCTTTTTTATAAAAAGCTTTCTTTAATGATTTACTATGATAATTCCAAATGTTACAATCTTATAACCTTATTTATAAAAAGCTTTTAATAAGATAATTCTAAGTGTTACAGCTATATAAATGTTAAAAAAAAAAAAAAAAAGTCAAACTATCTTTAGAATCTGTCTAAAACATCACAACTTTCATAAAAAAGCTTTAGAAGTTTTAAAATATGTACATTTTTTGGTGAAAAAATATGTACAATTTATGTAACATGTAAGACTAAGTAAATGATTAATTTAAAAAAAAAATAGAGAAAAGTAAAGGTAAAAAATGATTTAAATAGAAAAACATAAACAATAAAAAATCAATCCAATAGAATTTAAAATTTTGATATAGTGCAATTTTTATGTTGATAATATAAAATATTATACATCATATAATAACTTAAAAAAATCAAATTCAACGCTAGTTATCACTCTACTTATAATTTTACCATTATATTTTTAATTTTGGAGTAAATTTAATGGTATTTCTAATTTGGAGCAAATTTAATCAAATGTACAAGTTGAGAAACAAGCGCTATAATATTTGTGTTAAAAATAATTTTGTAATTAAAAATTCTTGAAAATAATATAAGTAAAAAAAAGCAAAGCAATTGACAATTCTATACTCATTTATAAGCATTAACGTCAAAGTACTCTTCGAATCATTTTTAAAACAAAATTGATGTAATTATATAAATTATAAGTATGAGATAACATTAATTATTTGTATAAATTATCTCAAAAGTTCTTTTTATTTAATTTTGTTAATATTATATCTTTTAGATCATTGTAACGCTTGTCGTTATTTTTTATAAATTTAATTTACGTTTAATTTAATTTTATCAAATTTTTATGTGAAAAAGGTTAAATTTATCTAATTAAACTATGTAAAATAATTTTTATGCATTTATTAAGAATTAAAAATTTTAATTATTATTTAATTTTCATATTTCATAATAACTTACACAAAATCAAGTTTCAAGAGTAAAATTCATTAGAAAAGAAGAGTAATAAATGTAAACCAGAAATTTTTCAAAAAATGTAAACCAGAAAGGAAAGTAATAAGGGAGCTCCATTGACAGGTATTCACTGACAAAACTACTGCTCATGCTCGAGAATTTTATCATTCATATCATTTAGGTTTTACTATGATAAAAGCGCGATTAGAACATTTTATTAAAAAATAATATTTTTATTTAATTTTAACTAAAAATGTAAATTATGTTAAAAATAAAATAATATGTAAATAAATTAAACTAAACTCAAGTTTAATTTTAGAAAAAAAGTTGGATAGTACTGATCTAACTCAAATTTTGAACTTAAAATATCACTTTGGTCAATCTAAGATCGATCTCAACCAAATTAACTAAAAAAAATCAAAACCAAATTATGAAAAAAATCAAAGCTACAAAAGAAATTTATTGGTTGAGATAATTCTAATAAAGAATAATTTAAGTTTAAAATAATTTAATTTAAATTAAAAATAATTTAAATTTGATTTAAATTTAATATCAATTCGAGATTCGTAAAAACTCAAAAAAAAATATATATATATATAATTAATTTGAAACAAAATCAACTTGAAACGTTTGGAATCAACAATAGTTCAAACTCATGACAATCTTATTTAAGTCTAAAAAAATTTGGTTATGAATTTATTGAAATCTAAATCTGAATAAGATAAAAAATAATCCGAATCTAAAAATAAACCGACCCGAAAGCAAGTAAATCCGTGAAATCAGCAGATGAGGGAAAGTACAAGGGAAAGACAGCTGACAGTCCAACCCCAAAAGAAAGTAGTAAGGCAAAGAATATTAGAGCTGCTTCCCATATTCCCTTGGATGCATCTAATCTCCCACAAAACTTTCTCCGTCTCACTCATTTCCTGATCCTCCCCAATAACCATAGGTCAGTTTTTTTCTTTCTCTTTCAATTTTGTTTATTGCTTCCTCTTCTTTTCCATGATCTAGGATTTCTGGGTTCTCTTGGCTTTCCCTATTTGCTCTTTTATTTTTATTATTATTATTATTATTATTATTATTATTATTATTATTGCTGAACAGTTTTCTCTTGCGTGTTAAAGTTATGATTCAGTTGCTTTGCTTCTCATATGTTTTTCCCTCATCTTCATACCTATATATTCTTTTACTTGAATTGCCGCTTTTGGTTTGACTAAATTTGGACTTTGGAACATTTTCAATTATTAATGTATCTTTCCTACGTCTTTAATTATTCATATATCGTTTCTTGTATCTTATTTGTCCCTACTTCAAGTGTGGCTAAGAAAAATTATAATTTTTCTTATGCATTTTTTAATGATAAATTTGTAAGAATTCTGTTGTTTTGCGGATTTACAAGTTTTATTATTTGTTAAACAAGTTATGATTATGTTCTATTGTGAGCTTGGAACTTATCAGGAAAAGATTGTTCTATAATTTTGTCTACTCTCCTGTTCACTGTAAGTATTCCTTATTTCTATGTTGCATTAAGGCCCTGGATTATGCGAAAACAACAAAGCACTATTCTTCCATGGAGTGGCAGTGGTTCTGAACTGTCTGTTTGGTATGGAGATTCTGTTGATTCTTTTTACTTGCTTAGAAACTCACAATGGAGATTAGCCTCATGGAAGATTAAGATGATGCATCAAAGTAATATGCTGCTGTAATTGAAGACATCTTATTTAATTATATTTGATACATGATGGGTAAGGAAAACTTGCCACAAGCAGTCAATGGAGGTGTCAGCACTGATAGTAGCTCGAATGCTGACAATGATGATTCTGGGACTTACTCGCAATATAGTATAGACAAAGAGGCAGGTTCGGCTACTTGCCGTGTCTGCCACTGTGCAGAATCTGACAAAAGGGGGGATGCTGCTTTAGGATTTTTGGGCATCACTCCTCCCTTAGCAGAAGTGGTTAAAAGCAATGGAGAAGTTCAACCTAATAGCAAAGAAGTTCCGAAAGATGTTGAAAGTGATGAGTCTCATGCTAAGAGTCTTGGAAGAGAATCTGGGTTTGTTGAGTTCATAAGCCCTGAAGGAGAGGTTTTCATCTGTAGTACTGATTTAGAAATGGGCTCTCATCATCAGGATGCATTAATTGAACTTGGTTGTTCTTGCAAAAATGATCTTGCTCTAGTGCATTATGCTTGTGCTCTCAAATGGTTTGTTAATCATGGATCTACTGTTTGTGAAATCTGTGGAAATTCTGCAAAAAATATCGGGACTTCTGACTTTAAGAAAGTTTTGGTTTCTTTGAAAGATTATGAAGCATTGAGAGAAAGGACTGCTAGTGGAGATCCTAATCCTGCCCAAGTTCATACAAGTTCTGGTGTCGACCCTGATGCTGTTGCTGCTATTTGGAGGCAACGGCTAAGTGAGATTTCGTTGTGGTTCAGTCCACATAGTAATAATAGCAATAATTATAGTTCTTCTGCAGTTTCACAGTTTGTTTCTGAACAACCCCCGAATACTGTCACTGAAGAAGTTGCTCCCACTGAAAATCCTGCAACCAAATGGGCTGTGGAGGGTACTGGAATTCTGCTTGCTACGGGTCTACTTACTGTTACGCTTGCATGGCTCATTGCTCCTCGTGTTGGAAAGGTATTTTGTTACAAATGCTCATCTAACAGGCTAGGAAACTACTGCTTTTAGTTTTTTCCAATGTTTGTAATGAAATTCAATGTATACAAATATCAGCTTGCCTTAATTGCAAAGTTTTAAATGTTTGCTTAGGCATGAAAATTTGCAGAAACTATAATATTTTTCCAATTCTAAGCCAATGTGACAAGTGATGATTATACTAATTAATTGATGGAAAATGCCTTACTAGGAACAAAAAAAAAGAGCTCCGTAAGAGAGGAAATATCTCTATCTAATACGTCATCTACCTTTTTCCATACTGAGTTCGTTATGAACTTTATCCATACAAATTTGGTATTGCCAACTGAATCTTGCTGCCACACTGTGTACTGGCATATGTTACTTCTGTTATAGTTTCATATCAAATGTTAGATTAAATCTACTTGTATGTCCTTTTAGTAAATGGTTTTGGACCTTAGGGTGATGGTTTAGAGTTGTTATTGATGTGGCATTTTCTTTTGGACTATTTTATTTGGGTGGAAGGCCTCTATTAGTCTAAAGATTAAATATAAACTAGCTTCCTTAGATTTTTAACCGTGAGGTTCTTAAGGCTGTGAATCATTGAGTTGATACAGGATGCACAGTGGATGTTTCATGGATATGAGGATGTAGATATTATTGATAGGACAGGGACGTACTAATGGATATTCTTTCTTTTTAGATATGTCGATAAAGAAATATGTGTGTTTATGTATTTAGAGAGAGAGAACTAATGGTGTATAAAAACTTGAAGGAGTCTTATTAGGGGCTGATCGGATTTCTTAAAAAAAAAATACGTTTCTTTCACTAGTAAGTTTGAGAATATCTTATAATTATGCTAAATGCCAATTCACTTATAGAATTTAGACCAGGAAGGTTGTGAATGTCAACCCAGGCCCACACGGGTACCTAAAGGTGGCAATTTACTGGGTTGTGGGATGATACCCAAATGCATTAAGATGTCACACTTGTAAGCCATACTGGCATCCTTTGTTAGTAATGGCTAAAGTGTGAAAACATAAATTGTGTTATTAGTCGGTTCTGTATCTCCTTTCCTTCCAGGAAAACCATGTGGATCAGGTTGGGGATTTTAGCATGTTGGAAATGATTCAAAGATATGTTGATCTAGGATCCTCCATCTCCCAATAAATATTGATGAACGTGTAAAAAGAGTCGTAACTGTTGGACCTTGAATTCTTTGAATGTTTGTTATTTCCAGGGTAGAAGTCGACTTTTATTTTCAACCTGACTGAAAGTGTCATGAGTTTATAGAAACCATTTTTTGGGACAAACCTAACTTTATAAAAACCCATATGTTTTATTGATAACCAAAATCATGAAGGATAACAATTCTATTTTTCTTATCCTTTATCCCTTGATTAAATGGAATGATAATATTTTCTCTTATATCTTATATTCTATTACATATGCAATTGTGCAGCACCATTAGCTTTATGGTGCCCACATATTCTTGTCTATGAATTTCAATCAAGACATCAATATAGTTATATATAAATATATATATATTATATTTCAATTACTTTGATTACTAGTAATGCATTTAGCCATCAGGGCATATGGTGTGCTTTATTTTATGTCACCTTTTTTCTTTCTTTTTTGTAGAAAACGGCTAGGAGCGGTCTTCATATTCTCTTGGGAGGCATTTGTGCTTTAACAGTTGTGGTCTTCTTTCGCTTTGTAAGTAACTTGGACAATATATCTGTAGTTGTTTGTTTACTAAACTCGTGCATTTGATTGGCCAAAAAAAAACTTATATGCATTTGATTTGAGTAAATATAAATATATTTGTATTGAAGTTGTTGATACTTAGTGGTTCTTTATGTTTCTGATCCTTGACAAACTAATAACAGCTATCTTGATAAACCTGATTATACTTTCAATATATCTTCAAAATAGGCATGGCATTTTTTTGATGCCTTTGTAGTTTCAAATCCGTAGTTCAGTAACTTTTTCAGTTTTTTGCAGATTGTAGCAGCTATATTGGTAAATTCAATAATTCTTTTGGCCAATCTTCACAATAGGCATGACATTCATTTAAATCATTTAGTCTCATAATCTTTACTTTAAATTTGGAATTTGGTCTGAAATGACAGTACCAAGCATCAAAGTAATAAAAGCAAGAAAGCATTTCTCTTTATATGTCCCAGAAAATATATTCTCTTCAGGCTCGTGTGGCAGGTTCAGTATTGCTGTTGAATTCTGAATACTTATCTGCCTTCTGGTTCATTTGCTTTGAGATTATTAGATGCATAGTCTAATATTTTGTATAATGTGGCTGGCACTTGCAGATTGTGCTGACTAGGATTAAGTATGGACCAGCACGCTACTGGGCAATCTTGTTTGTCGTCTGGTTTCTTGTCTTTGGTATATGGGCCTCAAGAACGCATGGTGCTCATGCAACATGATTTGTTGATATATGGTGCATATAAATTCACTATATTCTTTTTTGCTGCCAAAAAGTAAATGTTGAAAAAAAATTGGGATTTTTTCTGGACTTCATTAATGGCAGTCAACTCCATTTGATAGTTCATGCTTCTTGCAGTTGCTTTTTTTTTTTTTTTTTTTTGCCATGAGCTGTGGATAGCGTAACATTATGTTTAGAACGATGTTAGCCTACTCGGCCCTTTGAACGCAATGTGATGTTCAGTTTTAACATTTTCATTCACAATCGTGCCATTCTAATGCAAGTGATTTGACCGACATTTGTAAGCAAGTTCAAGTGTCACGAATTTAAGGAAGATTTTTAAATTTCACATCGAATATAAAAAGGAGGGTCATTAGGGTATAAAAAGGTTCATATCATCTCTTTTTTGTGAAGCGTTTTTTGTAAGATAAAATTGTGAGGTCAAAGAGGTCAGAGCGGATAATATCTCATAAGAGTATGAATCGTGACAAGAAAATTAATCTGAGACGTCAGATGAGTGCATGTTCTGTTCGGGTCATGGAGTCGTGCGAGTCGAAATCTAAGTCTCGATCCGTGACAAATGGTATTAGAGTCAGTCTTAAACTGTTCGATCTACGTTAAACGTTTCGAGAGAGGTAGGCAGAGTGACTAATCTTCGTGACGAGGGCGTCTCGAAGTTGGGTGGGGGAGAATGTCACGGATCTAAGAAGGATCCTAAACTGTTTGATCTATGCCAAGCTTCTCGAGAGAGGTAGACACCCTGTGGTCAGCTTTCGTGAAGAGGGTGTCACGAGGTTGGGTCGAAAAAAATGGCACGGACTTAAGGAGGGGTCTTGAATCCCATATCGAATATGAGAGTCAGTGAGATATAAAAAAGGTTCATACTATCTCTTCCTTATAAAGGTCCTTTCGTAAGATAAAATCGTGAGACCAATGAGATCAAATTGAACAATATCTCACAAGAGTGTGAACTGTGATAGAAAAATTGATCTGAGATGTTGGATGAATGCATGTCCCGATTCTAAAGTCGCGCAGGTCAAAACTTAAGTCTCGACCCGTGACACAAATAAATAACCGAATTCTTTTTGTCTGTTTCAACAATATAATCAGGACATGAAGAGAATTGAGAAACAATGTACTCTCATAGACAAAAATGAAGCATTAATGGAGATTACAAGAAAGATATAGATTACATGGATTTTATGCTGCTACCGTAGAAGATACTTACTTTACCATGATCAAAGCAACATGCCTGGTAAGTACCTTATCCACTAATCCTAGAATGCTACAGTTACAACAGTCAGTCCTTTGATCACATACTTAATAGTCTCAAAGAAACATATCAAAATAGACATTCCAAGGTTTTAGCAAATAAACTCAAGAATCTTCAAACAAGAGTATGGAATTGAACCATGTTGGTTGCTAGTTCAAACTCATAAAAGGAATGGAGTCAGGTGTAGACGCAAATGTTCCTCCACAATCTTCTATAGTCTTGAATAAGGCAATGATTCTCATACTCAAGATGATTGTAAATTTTAGGCAAAAGAATAAAAAAAAACAAAACCCCAAACAAAAATTAAATAATTATTTAAACTTATGATATTTTTTTACAATTAATCAAATCTTAGAATTTATCATTTTGAATTAATTGAATTCTTAAAACATTTATTTTTGCTTTGTTGAACTTTTAAACATATATTTTGTCCCAAATTATGCCATCAATTAAACAAAGATGGATGTTGATGGATGTTGATGGTTTAATGACTTCATGTTTTAAAAGCTCTTAAAAAATAGTTTTAAAAAGTTTAATTGATTGCACTAATTATAAAAAGGATTAATGATTAATTTATTTTGTTTAAAATTTTTTAATCTTGACTATATTCTAACTAGACAAAGAACATCATTCAAATATCCCCCCCCCCCCCCCCCCCAAGATCCTAGAATTTGTCCTGAAACATCCACTTTCAACTATAATGAGACGGCATATGCAGTATTCCTGAATCTTAGCTTAATATAGTCTTAAAATGATCATTCTGCGGTTTCTTCAGCAATTGCATAATTTAGCTCTTTTCCATTTACTAGCAATTTCAAGAAAAAATTCTCTATTTGATTGCCTATTATTTCCCTCTATCAAGATCAGTAGCTATTCAGCCTCTAAATAAAATCTAGTCAGTTTTCAAGCCATAGAGAAACAATCTGTTCGCAAATTAGAGCTCTTACAATATGAGCAAGAACTATGTTCTTTGGAATTTCATTAGCTTTGACATTTCTAGCATATGCTTCCCGTATGACTACAACCGGCATCATATTATATATTTATGTATCTTGCCAAAAGTAGGTATATTGCCGTTCAAAGATGTAGTTTTACATTGATATTGCTATACAAGAGTTTAGCTTCTTCCTGAACATATATTTCCATAGAAGATATTTAGGTTTTACTATTATCTTCAGACTCTTCTCTCAACACCAAGTAGGGTCCATCATTCAACTATTTCGTGCAACCATAAGGAAATTCATCTTTGGTGTTATGCCTGTTTCTACTTTTAACAATCATCACATGGCTCCTTCAACTTATCTAGTTCCTAAGCAGAAGCACTGTTCACAAGAACCTAGGATGCTTGTAGTTCCAGTCGAACTCCTACCTTACATGTCTTACATGTCTTTCTAACCCTTATTAATTACTATGCCAAGAAGGTGAAAACTTTGCAAGCCATTTTGCCTTAACACAACTCCAAAATTTTCGAAGTTGCATAAAATTCGTTGGCATATTTTCCTCAACACTTGAGTGCCTCTTTTTGGTAGAATGTATCCCTTATAAAACGTTCATAAACTTTCTTTCAATTGATGCACTGTTTCTTCCATAACCTTGAAAGAGACACTAGCAAAAACTTCATAAACAGGCCTGATATGGGCTAGATTCTAGTCTATCATTTTCAAGAGCGCATTGCAAACCATGTAACAAGCAATTTATGAGCTATTCTCATGAAATTTAATTGAAAGTAAAGGATTAACCAAAAGAAACATTCTATATACAAGAGCTTAACCAGTGTTAACAGGCAGTTGTTATCATTTTACTTACCTATAAAAGAAGTCATCATGTGAATTCTAAGAAATTGTTTTAACATTATAGTAATATTTCTAAATAAGATTTACATAAATTAGCAAAAATAACAGAGAAAAATAAATAAAACAAATAAAATGGCGTACCCATTTCTTTTCTTTTCTTTTTTTTTTTACCCAAGATAAAAAACGTCATCAGTCATCAAAACAACATACTGCAAAATCTTCAAAGGAGCATTCCTGAAATCCAATGAAGGTAACCTCAGCTCTCTTACCCTGCTCTCACCATTCCCTCTCCCTCCCCGAACCTGACACGAATCCACTTTTCTGAACAAGTAAACCGATTTGGTAGTGTTATTAGCAGAACTTAGAGATGGGTTTTTCCTTGTATTGAAGACGGTCCATCCCATTCCAGCCAAAGCCCTTGAAAATGCTTGCATCGACTCGATTCTATCTCCTGTCAGCCTCGAAAACAGAGAAATGGAGCAGCAATCCCAGTTACGGGAATCGTCAAATTTTGCATCATAATCAGAGCCGACAGTGATAAAAACCAGCTTGAAAAGGTCTTTAGAGAGGGAAACAAAGGAACGAAGATGGGAAAGGGAGGAGGAAGAGAGTGAAGGGAAGGAAATCAAAACTGCATCGTTGGGTAAAGGCATGGAAAAAGAAGAAGAGAGAGACAAGGCAGAGGAAGAAGCAGAAGAAGAAGCAGCGGCAGAAGAGGAAGAAGAAGGCGAAGAGGAAGAGGAAGAAGAAGAGGAGAAAGAGAAAATGATGTGAGAAAGGGAAGGAGAAGGGTAAAAATCCAAGCCCATTTCTCTTGCTATGGCGGCTAACCTGTATGTGTCGCTGATTAGTTCTTTGGTAGGGAGAAAGAGAAGCAATGGGGTTTTGGTATTGGATTTGGGTTTTGTTGGTTTTAAGGAATAATCACAAAAATTGTAAAAGCTGGGTTTGGAGTTGGAGATATCATCAACATCTCCTTCAAGGTTGAATTTAGTATGACGGTGATGATGGTTAGTTTTCTGAGAGAGAAGGAGAGGGTGTTGGGTAATGGCTTCCCGTACCAGCTTTAGTGGCAGCATGTTTTCTTTTCTCCTCTTCTTTTGAGTTAGTTTGTAATAAATAAGGCATCATTTGCTCATTCTTTCTTTGTTTTGAAATCTTGACTGCTAAACAAAGCAAGATCCAGTTTGATATTCTTTGTTTCGAAATCTTGACTGCTAAACAAAGCGAGATCCTGTTTGAAACTTGCTTTGGTCACATGACTTGTCTATTCCCTGTTACGTTTGGTTTTTTTTTTGTCCCCACGTTGCTCCTGCTCCATCTCCATGTCCATACGTCCGTAGTTATTAATGCAATGTTAAGCCCTTTGATTGATTAATATCCTTTTTCTCTCCATTTATTATCTACTCTCTCTCTCTCTCTCTCTCACACTTATTTTTTTATTTTTATTTTTTTATATCAATGGGCAACAAAATGGTCGACATCAATGTCCTAACGTTTTACATTTTTTTCGACCGTTAATATCTCCTAAATATGGGACAAAACAACCCAATGGAAGTTGAATACAAGTTTGGGCTTCACTGCAAGAAAACAAAAAATAGAGATTGAAATTTTTCCACGAAAATTCTCCGTTGTTGAGAAGCACTTTTAGCGTCGGAATTTCGATGAATTTTTTTATCGAATTCTAATAGTCGGTTTTATAGAATTATTGGAGGATTTAATCGATAAATACCCGTAATTAGCGATGGAACTCAACTTCATCACTAATTTCGTCGGTAAATAATGGCACCAAATTTATAAGTCTAGCATCACATTTTTTTGAAAACAATGGTGGATATCTATCAGAATTTTTAGTATAAAAACAATTCCTTATGAAATTATGAAATTATCTTTCTCCTTATTAATGTGAAAATGATTCAATAAATTATTATGTTCCCATATTATAATTATGAAAATATCTTTTTTTTATAATTATTTATTAAATAATTCTTTAAAAATTACCAAAATATTTTTTTCATTATATGATAAAAAGTTAATGTGACTAACTAAATTATTATGCCTTCATATTATAATTATAAAAATACCTCTATTTTTATAATTATTTATTAAATAATTCCCTTTGAAATTATTAAAATATCATTTTTATTATATGATAAGAAATTGATATATAATCAAATTAACTATTATATTCTTATATTATAATTATGAAAATATTCTTTCTTTTATAATTATTTACTATAATACCTTTCTTAGAAAGTTAACAAAATATCTTTTCTATCTTTTGATAAGAAATTGACATGTGATCAAATTGACTATTATACCTTTATTTTATAATTACGAAAATACCTCTTATAATTCTTTACTATAATACCTCCTTAACAAATTACCAAAATACATTTTTTACTATTTGATAAGAAATTGACACGTGATCAAATTAACTATTATATTCTTATACCATAATTATAAGAAAAAAATAATTATAAAAATTATTCTTTTCTTATAATTATTTATTATAATACTCTCATACGATAATTACAAAAATATCCTTAAAAGATTATCAAAATACCATTTCTATTATTTAATAAGAAACTGACACATGTCCAAATGGACTATTATACCCTTATATCATAATTGTGAAAATACTTTCTCTTATAATTATTTACTATAATACTCTCATATCATAATTATGAAAATATCATTTTTCTTATGATTGATCAAAATTGCTTTAATGTAATCCTACCAAAATTACGAAAATGCCTTCCTATCATAATTGATGAAAATTACTATTATACCATTCTCATCATAATTATAGAAATGCTCTTATAAATGCTTAATAAGAAGTTGACATGTGATATTTTATTTCAAAATCAATAACATATATTAAAATAATCCCCTTAATAATTACTATAATAGCATTTTGTTTGTTTGATATAATGTCAACACGTGTCCAAATTTACTACAATATATTTATACTATAATTACTAAAATACTTCTTTAGATATAATTAGCTAAAATTATTATAATACACTCCTATAATAATTATAAAAATATCTCTCCTACTATAATTAGCTAAAATTACTATAATACCTCTCTTACTAAAATTACAAAAATACCTCCTAACATAATTAACCAAAAATTACTATAATGCCTCTCATTTAATAATTATATAAATGCTTTTATGAGTACTAGATAGAAAGTTGACATGTGGCTTTTTTTTTTTCAAAATTACTATAATACTTCAATAAAATGATATATTAAATTTTAATATAATGTAAAATTACTATATATTAAATTATTAATATATTCTTGCCATTGCTTTATAAAAATTTTATATGTGATATTTTATTATAAAATTACTTTAATACCTTATTAAATTACATATGAAATTTTAACATAAAATTAATTACGCATTAAATTACTAAAATACCTTTGCATTGTTTCATAAATACTTGACATGTGGAATTTTGTTTGAAATTTATTATAATAATCCTATTTAATTACTTATTAAATGTTAAATAACATATATTAAAACAATTCCCGTGGAAATTACTATAATGGCCATTTGTTTATTTAATATGATGTTAACACATATCCAAATTTACTATAATGCCTTTCTACCATAATTACAAAAATATCCCTATTTTCATAATTAGTCAAAATTATTGTTATGCCATTCTATCATAATTATAAAAATGCCTCTCCTACTATAATTGACCCAAATTACTATAATGTTGTCTTATCATAATTATGAAAATACCTCTCCTACCATAATTGATCAAAATTACTATAATACACCTCATACCATACAAAAATGCCACTTCACCATAATTGGTAAAAATTACTATAGTAGCATTTATAACATTACCATAATTATGAAAACACATTCTACTATAATTGGCCAAAATTACTATAATACACCTCATACAATACTTACGAAAATGCCCATAATTGTCCACAAACTATTGTAATGTCCTTTATACCATAATTATGTAAATATCCTTCTGAGTTTTTCATAGGAAGTTGACATATGGCATTTTGTTTCAAAATTACTATAATGCTCCTATTAAATTACATATTAAATTTTGACATAATATAAAATTAATCACATATTAAATTACTAAAATACTTTTGTCATTGGTTTATAAAATTAGACATGTGACATTTATTAAAAATAATCAAAACTAAATGATCAAGTGAGTTAGATAATTATAATTTTTATTAAAATAAAAAATTAAATAATTGTATTTTTAAAATAAAAAATATTAATCCTAAAATATTCAGTCACTAATGTTTTTATCTTTGTTAAAATGTAAAAAGATTTAACAAATAACTAATACACAATCTCAATTTTGTTCTATATAAAAGCTATACATATTTTTAAATTTATTATTTCCTTTATATCCATATGTGTTTTCAACCTTTTGCTTATGGAAGCAAAAATCAAATAGCAAAAGCAATGATCAAAGAGTATTTGATTAAAATATATGGAGCTAAGGAAGCCCTTAGACTTTTATGTTAATGATTTTTTCTTAGAAAAATACTATGGACAGTAGGTTGAGTGGGCTCAAGTCGGGCTCAAGTTGTTTACCTTATCTTAGAAAATTGTGGATACCTCATTTTATTCGAGATCTTTTTAAAACTATTGAGCCTTGAGTTTTAATTCAACATTAGGCTTCTCGATTGTTGTTTAATTTTGCAAATGGTTTTAAAAGCCCATAGTTAGAAAAATCCTAAAGTTTTTATATTTGTTTTATTTCTCTTATTTTTATTTTGTTTATTGTTTAACTTATTTTTATTTCCTTTTAATTTGTAAGTCAAAGTCATAAAGTCAATAAATCAAAAATAAAAACATTTGGGATGATTTAGCTTGAAATTTTTTTACAAATTAGGATGAAATTCTAAGGAAAAATCTCTTTCAACCGAATTTGTTTGTATGAAAACTTCTTCTTGAATTAGGGTTATTTTACTAATTAGGACTCTTTGCTATAAGAACAATATAAATCAACCAAAAAAGGGAGAATGAGCATTGCAATTCACAAACACACATAGATTTTTAACTTCAAAGCAATATATATACATATATATCAAACTAAATTCCTATTAGAGTAGAGCTTGCTGCCTCCACTACCACCATCAATCACTACAACTATTGCCATCTCACCACCTTTGCTAAAGCACTACCACATCATCATTTTATTATGCCTTTCACCACTACCACTACCACCACCACCACCACCACCACCAAGCATGCACCAATAGCCTAATTTTTTCACCACTAGTACTTTTAACCCAAAACTTAAACCTAAAAGAGTAGCTAAGGGGTTGGTAGGGGTTATGACCCCCCCAAAATTTTTTTTTTAGTAAAATTATTATTTGGCCCCTCTTTTATCATAGTTCTAACTTGACCACTACTTAAACCACCCAAAATCCATACATCTAAAAACTATCAGACAATGAACAATAATAATTGATGAGAAACACAACAAATATAGAGAACCATAAAGAATTCACATAGTTTTCAACAAAAATTCATCAAGAAAAATAATGTCCTAGTTGAACAATAACTAAAGCCAAAAAGCCTAAACCTAAAATCATCATCCTCGCCATCATTATCAACTCCCTATCAAATAGCCACCCATTATAAATTTTGCCACACCAATGCAAATCTAATAAAGAAAAAAAAATAAAGCAAAATAAGAAGCAAAATGAAAATCACAAATAAAAAAGACAAAAAAAAGTTCTTTTAGGTTTCGGTTAGCCCTCTTCCAAGGAATTTCATGCCTTTAAATTTGTTAAAGAAAAAGTCAAGAAAAGTAGGAATAACATACCTTGAAGCACCAATGTTTGGAGTGGTAGAGATTAATCTTTTTAAAAGTAGAGACTGTAACTTTTAACCATAGATCTAGGGCTTTATGAGCATTTTTAAGAAAATCCACTTTGTAAATAGGAAAGAAAAGCCCAAAAAAAGCTTTTGGGTGAAATTTGGGCTTTAATAGAGGTGGACAGTAGTGTTGCATGGTGACATGGCAATGAAAGGTTGGCAGGTTATGAAAAACTTAAGGCTACCGATAGATGTTTAAAAAAGGTTAGAGAGAAGAATGAGAGTTTTTATTTTTAAAGAGAGAAGCAATGAAGGGAAAGAAAATAAGGTTGTTAAATTTTTTAT